TCTCGCTTCTCATGTCGCTGCCCTCATACAATACCATCATTCTAGAAATATACCACTTATTGTTCTTACAGGGAAACCAATTTTTCAAAGAGTTTGAAAGAAAGTATATTAACATTTCCACATGCATTTTTTCCTGTGGTTCTATCTGCTTACCATGGCTTTGAAGTTACATGGAAAGAAAATAGCACATTTTCAGAATCCACACCTACTTTATATAAATGTTGTTTTTGTAACAAGAGGATTCACTCTCTGCGCTCAGGTCTGTCTAGAAAGAACATATTCAGTCTTTCACAGATAAAAGTATCTGCATGACCAGGGGTCTCTGGTGACTGCTGTCATATACTCGAGTCAGCTGAGAGACATGAAGCCCACAATAAGAATGTGAGCTGAGGTCATAAATATTATAAAATAAACTCACTTAGCAAACAAAAAAACAATATTGGTTATAGGGTTCAGACAAGGTTGCAATACAAAACTTGACACATAAACAAGTATAGTGACAACAGCTGGAGGAAAGCACAAATGTGAAATCTAATGGGAATCCCACTTAAGAGAAATGTGTGAGAATGATTATCACTGTTTCTACTTGTGTTTTCTCTTTGAGCTTCCTTGTGTTATTTAATGGATAAATATATATTATTACTACAATCTAAATAATAAAAAAAAAATCTAATGTCTTGTTTTTCAAGAGCTCACTGCAGCCAACAGCTAACAAAAGTACTGTGAATTTTTAATTGGTAAAACGAGCCTTTCTATCTCTGTAGGACCCTGTCAGTGTGGCAATGCAGTATGGCCCCATCAAATATGCATTTTACTCCAAAATCCATCTTCACTAGATGAATCTGTCAAAAGATGATACATTTACGTGATCAGACATCTACCAGCAGTGAGAAAGAAAATGCCACAATTATACAAATCACAATCATGATGACAGCTTCTGTCAACAGCTGTCCTTAATTAATTATCATGCCAAGAGTGTCAGCCAACAAACACAGCGGCAATTATTTCTATCAGCCGTTGGAGCAATAGCCATGTTAAGTTACAGGAAGGAGATTATAAAGATAAAGAACACATCACAGCAAAAACATTCTGGGGCCCTCCTATTCAGTAACCACATGCTCCCTTTTGCTCAGATTATAGCAGACAACATCCGTTATTATAACTAGGCAGAAAACACAGAGCTTTACATTACAATATAACCAGGTGACTATGAACCAATCAGAGCGTTGGCTAGATGCTTAGAACAGATCAATACGTGGATGCAGCATCATTTTTTCCAACTTCATGAAAACAACATTGCAGTAATATTCTTCGGAACAAAAAGTCATGATGGACTCAGAACTGAGCCTTCAGATACACATAGAGGCATTTATTAGTCAGCTTTTTATCACCTGAAAGTTTTCAGGATTAAAGGACTAATGTCCAAGCAGGATCTAGAAAAACTCATTCATGCATTTATCTTTAGAACTATTGATTCTTCCCTAAAAGTCAATCAGAGAGCTGCAGCAGATCCATAACTAAGAAAGTAGAGCACATCCACCCGGTTCTGAAGTCCTTCCACTGGCTCCCTGTAACTCAGATAATAGACTTTAAAAACCTGCTGTTAGTCTATAAATCACTCAATGGATCAACACCTTAATACATAACAGATTTGTTGTCAGTGTATCAACCTCACAGACAAATCAGGTCTTCTAGTTCCAGCCTACTCTGTTCACCCAGAACTAGATCAAAACATGGAGAAGCAGCATTTAGTTCCTATGCTCCACTAACCAGGAACAAACTCCCATAACAGTGTAAAAGTGCTACAAGCCTGAAAACGTTTACTGTAAGTCAAAGTTAAAAACCCATTTTTTAAGAACTGCCTTTGACTATTGAACCTAAAATGTTAACTGATGTATTGGTTTAAGTGTGTGCTCCAACTGTTTTATTTGCTTTATTGGCTGTTTTTTCACGTTTTTGTCTTTACTTGCTTTTATTTTGCTTCTGTTTTGGTGTTCAATTCATATAAAGAACTTTGAATTGTCATTGTACTGAATTTTGCTATACAGATAAATTTGCCTAGTTTAACTTTTGAAATGGGCTTCTGAAAGGTTTTCAATCTGATAGCACATAATGTTCTGCCAAGTACAAAAACAAAATTATGTTTAGTTCTGTTATAAATTAAATAGCGTGTTTAACAACTTTGTGGTCAGTTTTAGGAGGATTTAATCATTTTTAATCAAATAACTTTGTACTCTGGAACTGATGCTGGATCCTTTTAAATAAATATTTTAGGGCATCAATAATTTCCTGCATTCAGTATTGTTTAATAGATTTCAAAACTTTATTTGTTGATTTTTTGTTTCTCCAAGAAACAGGTTTTTGTTTATGGTAACACCTGAAATTCTAGTAGAACAAAAACAATACTGATTTATAAAACCATGAGAACAAACAAAACCAAGCAATTTCCCTATACAGATCAAAGCTGTGCCTCAAAGTTTGCGTCCAACGCTCCACCTCGTGTTTGGCCCACTTCACGCCCAAATATAACCATGAAAATGCAAAGCACTGCATGAATGTTATTGTGTATTTAAATGAGCCAGCTGATTAATGTAATTTAATAGTTACCAATGGCAACTATGGCAAAGAGAGCAGAAAAAACACAGTTTAACCAAGGTGTGTGAGATAGAAGGACAAATAAATGAAAGGACAGAAAAATCAATGTGATAGCCAGCAAAAAAAAAAGGAAGTATTATTAATGACACTTTTAGAGTCTGATGTGGATTGATAGAAGCAACAAGGACATCCAGACAGTATCTATCCTTATCACGATGTCTCAGCTTTATGGATAGATTATTTTGTTCCTAAAGTGGCTTTAGGCAGAGTTAATTAATTTTGATTACTGTATGTTTAACACCATCTTGACCTTACATATATATAGCTAAATATATATATAATATTAAAAACGGGAGTAGGACACCTATCTGTTGGGTTTAATATGAGCGGGAAAGGTAGTGTTTAGGCTACAGCTTATTCAATGTAGTTGTGTCAGCAACAATTGAAGTCCTATAAACAAGCTTTATTGGTGTTCATATCAACAAAGGATTTTTGTGAATGAACAAAACTGAATAGAATAGAATAGAATTATAGTTAAAATCTGGTTGAACTGTTTGGAAGGGAACACCCATGCTTACACCACAGCATCTATTACTCCAAGCTAATAGCTGTAGTTTACTTGAATACCTCCAAACTAATGGCCAATGTACCAAACACGGAGAAAAACTGCCAAGGAGTGATTCGTCAAGTAGTACTCAGAAAATAGTGCGACGTATGAATCAGGGAGTGATTCATATGGGGCTGTGATGATGGCTTGCTCACTCTTTCATCTTTATTAACTGTTTAAAATAAAAGCCTGTTAAAGGTCTATGATGAGTATACTTAATGTCACTAAAGCCATAGTTATAGCTATTTTAATTGTAAAAGAGAATGAAATGTAGTAAAAGCTCTGTAAATAGGACACTAAATCTGGTGAAACCATGCTTACTGTAACAAAACTGTAGTTAATGATGATTCAGTGAACAGATCTTTTAATTGAATCATTTCAGTGAACTGATTCTAGTGGTTTAGTTCACTCAAAAGAACTGCCGTTGCCATTACTAGCTGCCATATCCTGACCACACAACGCCAAATCCCTCCTTCCCACACTGCCCCTCTAGAGGTGTGATTATGATTTTAAATTGAGGTGAGTCTCACTTGATTCATAGCTAGTACTTTATTATGAGCTAGTATCTGTAGAGAAAGCGATTCACAATAGGATAGCATGAGTATGATAATGTAGAGCCCAACCACATAGCAGCAACTATGAATGCATACTCCATCAATGTATTTTATAGCACAGTAGTAAAATACCTTAGGTATAGTGAGATACCTCAGCCAAATTCATCACATATTGAAACCTCTCTGAATAGTAGAGCAGCCTTTTTTACAGAACTGCATAGTAAAAGTTAAGAATGAGGGAGCATCATATGATGAGAAAAAAAGAGCAGTAAGGATGACAGTTAATACCATGAATGAGCACAAAAAGTCAAACCTAAAGTCATCATCTGTCCTTGTATTTGTAAAATTGTGCACTAATGAGGTTGAGTCATTCCTCTTGAATTCAATATGTGCATCCATCTTCCTTTTCTTAAAACATATTGAAAGCTGAAGGTTTATATCCTGTGTCCTAACCAATAAAATTCATGCTGCAGGCGAGGACTCAATCCATCTGTCGGTTTAAAGGTACCACAGATATGAATAGGAGAATTAATCTAAAGCTAAATGCATTCTGTAACAAACTTTTTGTTTGTTTTTTTTTGGTGGGCATGATTAAAAAAGGCTTAACTTGCAAGTTTCTATCAACATGTGAAATTTTCCTTCCTGACATCTAAAAGTGAAGAAATATGACAATGAAAGCTGTTTACTAAGGAGTCAAGCAAAATGAAAGTACCATTTGTACTGGGAACTGAACACAATCATAGGGAAACTACCCAGGTTAGTCAACACCCAAATAAAACCCAATAGTGTGTTTTTGTTAAATGATGTATATTCAAATTAACTGATAAAATGTAAATAATAGAAATTTGGAACCAAATGATCTATTATCCCGAAGTTGCATGGATGAATCCAGAAAAATCATAAAAGAAAAGAAGAGAAATGATCACCATTGCAATTTGCAATTACTCTAAAATTTTCACTCTTAGTTTTAAGGTACACTGTGCAAAATCTGCATCGACATGACAAGATATCAGAGAGAAAACATATTCCTGTAATGAGCAGAAAATGATTCTGATTTGCACTCAGATTTCAGTGAGTGAATGTGTTTGCAAAATAAAACAGTTTCTAGTACTCAGTGACAGTTAATTAGATGACTTTAATGCACTTCACATTGATTTCACTGTTTATCGACTCCCAGCAGAATACTGGATAAGACCATAACACCAAAACGCACAGCCACACAGACATTTATCATTCCACTCTACCTTGTCGTAGTATCTGATCTCGTAGTCAAGGATGATCCCATTGGGTTGCTCAGGTGGGGGCCATGAGAGAGAAAAGCTGCGGCTCGTTGAGCTCACTTGGTGCATTATGGGAACCTCAGAAGGTGCTAGTGTAAAGCAAATATGTACACACAGCCACACACACACACACACACCCCAGTAAGAACACACAACCAATTAGGAATTATAGACATTCATCAGAGTGTTTAGACATCATAAATATGCAAATACAGAACAATTTATTGAGAAATTACTTAAAATGTGGCGCACAGAATTCAGTGCATGTGAAAGCAAACTGCTGCTCCTCTCAATGATTGAGTAAAAATACATTTAATGCATCTTTTGTTATAATCTTAGGATCTGCAGTTCTTTGATTATGATGAATTTCTGGAGTTATAGGAAAATTTTTCTTACATTTTACTCAAGTTCTTTGTTAGAGAAAGAAAAAGGACCTGTACTACAGCATGCAAACAAAAATTTATCAAAAGGGTTAACCTTAATAAAATACAAGCATTTTAGAGAATAACGATTGATTGATTTAAAAAATGGTTTACTGAAAAAAGACTTTAAGCATGCAAGTCAAATAGTATGGATGAAGAGCATTATTTCTTTTGATTAATTACTTGTTTTATTTTTTCACACATTAGAGTCCAATGAAATACTCTCAAAACCATCTGCTTAAATTAAAAAGCCCTCTCAATCACAGTTTACTTAATCATAGATCTGTTTTTTTATTGTAGGGTTTTGCAAGATTCCATGAGGGGTTTGCATCTGACATCAGATAAAAAGATACTTGGAAAGTTGCAGTTGATCAGGTATCAATTCCAACAGTGCCTCTGATAGAGCAGATGATGTCAGTTATATTTTTCCATCAGGGAAAAAGTTATTTCAGCTTTAAATTTAGCTAGAAGAAGAAGTTCCACTTATGTCTGCCTGCAAATGGAATTCATTGAGTAACAAATCAGTTATGTTCTTCAAGAATTACACAGCAGCAAGCTAAATAGGCAAAGGATGGCAGGGGAAAGAGAGATAAAGCTAAGAAAAGGAAAATCAGAAAGGAAGCAGAGAAGAGGAGTTTAGACAGGATTAAAGCCGTAGAGGTGCAAGAAAAAGTGAAGGGGGAGGAACAGGGGGAGGGAAGAGATGACAACCCGGTAACATGTTTTATGAATTAAAAGGCTGGAGCTCAATTTCCTTTATCTCTCCAGCCATCCCTCCCGCATATAATCCACTGTGCCTGGGGGTATACTTACACACACAGATGCTTGTAAACACACACATACACGCACAACAGTTTGCTTTTTTTTTTCTTCCATTCTAGCTTACCTGCTTGATTGGTTGTAATGTTGATGGACAGCTGTTGGGCAGGGTAAGGACTCTTATTGGACACTCCATTGACTGCCTGCAGAGTTTAAATTCTAATGGTCAACTATTTAACACCCAAAAGGACTACACACAAAAAAATTACTTATCTATAGAAGCTTTTATCATGAACATTTATAAATGAATATTTCAGAGGTTTGAAACCTACATACATAAAAAAAAAAAAAAATCAAATTTATGATAATATAATGATTAATCATTTTCATTAAAGCATCAAATTTAAATACTAAACAAATCTGAAAATAGTTCATAATTTCACCATATATATGATTTATTGTCTGACCAGATTCTCGCTGTCATCCAAAGACTAGACCACTTTCCAAATATTATTTGCCAAGTATGCAGTTAATCATTGTGACAGTGAAACAAATGCTTTAGTCAGGGCAAATTAGGGTTTTAATTTATGATAATTTACTTCAGGCACCACTAATTTAATTGTTGCTGCCTTTCCTTGACTGCTGAAGCTGAGACGTAGTGTATAACCACCCCCTATAAAAAATAAACAAACTAATATATAAAAAAAACTAAGATTAAATACATTCAAACTTAAAATTTAACATTCATTTAGAATTTTTACCTCAGGTGGTATGGGAAAATATTATTTAATGTTTTGCAAATAAACCACAGTTTCAGCCATTACTCTTGTAATCCTACATTTCATATTCTAAAATCAATGGCAATGAAGCCAAGTATTCTAACAACTATGTGCACATATTTAACATTCATTTTACTCTGGAGGTCTTAGAGGCCTTATATGTCCCATTTTAAATGCAGGGTGTCCTAAAATTGGGCAGTATAGGAGCCAGATGGTGGTAGATTTAAGGTTTACCACAGAACTGGCTTTGCAGACTTTAAGGTGACCTTGTAAGCTGAGAGATATAATTGCAGATTTTGCATAAAAGCCTGCAGGTCAGCAAGTATCTATGTCCTGTCTCTGAGCAACTTAGTGAATATTTAGTATCCATTTGCATTTAAAACAGAAGATGACAGGAACTTTAAATAGAGGAGACAGTTTTTAAAATAGAAAACATGCAAAGATGCAGTTTTTTTTGCAAAAAACACTCAAAGAAACTAATACTCAACATAAGATGGATCTTAAGCTTGAAAACTTTCTTGGTACTCAGAGATAATCACCCTAGGCTTGGATTTCCTAACAAAACCAACTTAACACATTTGAAGACACAAACCTGAATGTCAAATGTGTACGAGGTGTGAGCACGAAGCCTGCTGATCTCGACCCTTGTTTCCTTCAACGCCTCCTTGCCTGGAGCATAAACCACGCTGTCATCACAAGGCTGGCAAGCCCGCCGCTCGCTGCTGTGGCACCGCCTGCACACCACGTTATATGACAGATCCTCACGGTGCCCAGTATCGCGTGGAGAGTTCCACTCCAAGATCACTGATGTCTGATTCACCTCTGAGAGCACATTGCGAGGAGCAGAAGGAACGCCTGAAATAGAAATTGAAAGGAAGATATATGTCAGTGAAGAATAAAAATATATGTTTCCTGTGTTGGACTCTCTATAAACCGAGTTGTTACTCACTGCAAACGAGCCTGGTGAAGCTATCAACTGTGCAAACTAAAATTTCAGCTTAGAGTTAAACTCAAGTCCTGAATGCATGTAATCAGTAGAACATTAAAACATGAACATGTTTGTTTCTATCTGAAAGCGACAACAGTAAGCTGCTTATAGTAGATTTTATTTACATTTTCTTCAACAAAGATTTTTTTTAGAAGCTTCTCCAAATGATTGTATGGCTTAGCTAAATAGAGGCCACTATTACCGGTAATCTAGCCAGGCAAACATAGAACAATAACTGGATTTCATTTTTTTTTCTTACTTTGCAATAGCCGGAGTTAGAATTTCTCCAAACAGCAGTGGTGTGTGGTCAAGGGAGACACAATTAAGTTCAGTGATTCAGATAAGAGTTTTTTTCACTTCTCAAGACTAATTTAATTAACTGTTATTAAGGATTGTTTTTTATTGAATTTTTAGTCATAAAAAGAGGTTTTAGAGTATCTTAAATATTTGCACACAATTCTTTTAACCTAAGTGGGATCAAACTGAGTTTAGACCTGTAATTCTTTGCAGGTCTATATAGGAAGGATAGACTGAAGAATACCAAAACAAAGGTGAGGGATTGGTGGTTAAAAGAATTGATTAAAGAGAGGTTCTTCCATATATATATATATATATTTATACATACATATATAAAAGTTTTTTTTAAAGGCACTGTAGTATGAAATAGATATTAATAAAGAACCTTTAAAACAATTTTATATGTTAGAAATACAAAAACAAACAACAATTATATATTTCAATTTAGGTAAAACTACTATATAAGATTTTATTATGGGTTCATATAACTGTGCTTACACCTTGAGGACTCAATGACTCACCAATCATGCACCTTACTGTCATAGTTGTATGTTAGAAAATAACTTTCAGAGATCCTACAATTTAATATGTGAAACATGTTCTTTAATCAAGTGCCTGTGATTTTAAAATCGCCCGGCATCCAAAACAAAACGGGAGAGTTACATCTTCAGAGCTCCAGCCAACACCTTTTTCCCATCCCCCTTTCAGTGCTGCCTGTTCATAGAGCTCGCTATCTGTTTTAACCATTTTCCATAAAACATTTTATTTATAAACCCATAGAATTCAGCAATTTCTGAGCTTTTTTATTAACAAATCAAGAGCAGAGAGAGCTATATTTCATACTGCAGTGAGTCTCAAAATCTCGTAAGTAGCACAAGATGATTGGAGGTGTAGTATGACATATTGCTGATGATAGCACTGCCTTAATATATCTGTATGAGAATTTTATGTGATGGGGTTTTGGTTGTAACCAACAGGGCAATTATGTCCTAAAATAAGGAAATGTTTGAACTTTAAGTGAAGTTAGCAGCAAAGACAAGACAGTATGCATGGTTATATACAGTATATATATATATAAATGAGAAGATAATAAGCAGTCTAACTGAAGGATTGTGTGGTGAAAACAGGTCAACAGTTGACTTAAATACTGAAGTCAAAGACATAGGAAGCCACTGATATAATCAAAGCATAATGAGGAGAATCTAAAGTAAAGCACGGAGGCTGAGGGAAGGAGACTAATAATACAAATGGAGCTTTGCAGAGATAAATTAAATCAATCAACCAAGGAAAAAATTTAACAAAATATCGAAGAGAAACTAAATTTGAGCGTAAAAAGACCTGAATACAAAAACAATCTAAGAATTTAACAATATGGCAAGACCTGTGGGGCACACTAAACAACAAGGATATGCCCAAACCATAAACACCAAAGGAAACAACATTCTATACATCTGGAGATCATGATGCAGAGGTGTCAGTAAAACACTCATGATAAACAGAACTTAGTGCAGCAGTCATGTTGCTGGTTGACTAACTGGTCAAAATCAAGTAGAGTGATTGCATCACCTACTTGCTGTGAACATTCTAGTAGGCAAATAAAAAAAAAATGAAGAAAAAGAAACCAAAAAAAACAAAACCAAACAAAAAAATAGCATTTATGACCTTTAAGTTATTCCTTAAACCCTCAAAGTTTGAGGCTTAGTTGGTTTGGGGCTGTGACTACCTTACTTACTGAGTCAGGAAAAAAAGTGCCTTGAAGTATACTGTGAAAGGGGATTAACTGTAGATACCTAAACTTTAAATAGGAGCAGAAAAACAAGGATAAAACTGCTACTAGGTGTAATATGATTATTTTGACAACTACTGTAATTAGACCCCTTAGAAATTGTAATTGCAAAAATGACTAAATCCAGCATTTACAGATTGGAGGAGATGTAAGGTGAATTGTGAACAGAACAGTTGTTTTATCTTTTGAGGCCTTTTGGCCTCCCTCTGTTATGAACATTGTAAATTTGAAAATATTTAAATCCTTGTAGAAAAAGATCTTCATTAACTATAGAATACATATGGAGAAAAAGGTTTACAGGGCAAATGCCAACCACATTTATACAAAAAGGCAATGATCATGAACACATGTAATACTTTAAAGCACTTTCTACAATTCAATGTTGGATTAAATCCATAAGGAAGGTCAAGGATGTAATCATATTTAAACATCTTTTATGAAAAGCTAACCTAATCAAGCAATACGCCTCGTCTTGGATCATGCAAGAGAAAGCCTGCAAAATTGCCACTTAAAACTTATAAATGGGAAAAAGGAAACCTTATTCTTTTCTGTCAAAAGGAACATTTTTCTGTGCTTTGACCCATCGGGTCTTGACCATAGAACAGTGGAAGCAGAAATCGGGGTCAAGCAATTCAGTGACGCTGTTTTTTCTGGAACAAATACTCTTTTCTTCAGGATCAAAAAGAAAAAAAGAGGTAACAAGCTAATGCACAGGCAGAAAAGCAGAGTCTCAAATTGTTTGTAGCGTTTAATTATACGTTTCCATATATGTTACAAAAGACAAGGTCTTTGTGGAGAGAAGAATACTAATCAAATGAACAGAGTTTAAATTAAAAAGACTATGTTTTTCAGTCAAATTAGCTTGGCTTAAGTATGGAATTAGACATACTGTATGGAAACTTGCATTTGGTTTGCTAGAAGTAAATTGAATAAAAGGAATGTTTTAATTACTAGATGTCCTTCTTTGGAAGCCCAGCTTTGTTGCTTTCTGTGATGAAATAAAATACAAAGTAAAGAAACAGTAATTACTCATTCTATTGTCCTTTCTTTGCAGACTGCTTAAACCAAATAAATGTTTTTACATTTTAAATGATGTGATTGTTGAGCCTTTTTTGTTATTCAGTTTTTTTGCTGTGACAACTACATATATTTTCTGTCCCGTTAAGCTCAGCTCTTCCTTGTAAGCAGAATTTGGGCTTAAGGAAGCACCTTCTCTGACATTCATAAAATGGCCTAACAATCATTGTCTTTTACAAGTGACTCAGTATCAGTTTTCACTCAGTGTCAAAGTATGTCTTCAAAGCACACAAGAGTTTTCACAAGGTTAAGCCTGGCAGGCTCACTTCTCCTTGACAGTGCAAACACATCACACTGAGTGTGACGCATGCGAAACAAGAGCATTTGAGATGAAACGGATGTTCAGCCTTGGTGTATGCTAAATCAAAGAGTCATAAGATGAGACGACCCTGTGGAATATGTCTTAGCTTGTAATTCTTAAAGAGACACCCAAGGACGGGGCCTCAGCAAAATCAAAGGATAAACAGTGCGAGACTAAAATAATCTAAGTTGTGCCCTTGTACAGTCTATTTAGAGTCATACACAAATATGTTAATCCAGGTATGTAACTGAGTTGAGCTGAGTTAGTTTTTCCTACATAAAAAAAGATGTTCATTCAACAAACACAGCAAACAGCAAGATACTGTAAAATGCAATGCTAAGAAAACAAGAAGCATATATTCTGATGCAGAAGAAAGAAAGAACATTGTAACCTGATTTGTTTTGGTTTTGCCTTTGAAATGAAAGTGCTGAAGTAATTTAAAGAGCTGTGCAGGGTGAGTGCATGACACCTGACACTCTCACTGGCAAATTTGATGTTTTCTCTCTATCACTGTTATTTCCATGTGTTGAGGTCTGCCTTTCGTCTGGGCCTTCTCTGCTGTAATAAAACAATGGCCGACCTACAGAACATATGACAAATAGTTCTTCTTTAAAAACCTTTTTTAGTCTGCCTCTTATGTCCTACAAATGATTTTGCAGTGAGGAATATTTTCTCAACTTTTTTAAGCACATGTCCTTTTTGATTCAATAAAAAAAACATTATGAAAGTAGCCAAAAATCCCTCATCAGGAAAAAAAAATGAACAACTGTAACATTTTCTTTGCTGTAAAACTGTTAAGCACACTTTCAGGCAATTATAGAGCACACAATATTAGTCAATATTATAACACCACGGTGCCTCTGAGTGCTGACCATATCTATTCCTTGTAACCATAGTCTATCAATCTTCTGATGGGGACTATTAAAATACAACATGAAATAATGTTTAAATGATCTCAATAATTCAGTTTACTCCAGGACCTCCACAGTCACCAAATCTAAATCCAGAAGAGAGATCTGAATGTGCAGCCAACAAATCTCCAGCAAAAGCATGATGCTGTCATGCTAATATGGACCACGTTCTTTAAGGGATGTTTCAGTAATCTTGTTGAAGCTATGCCTCAAAGAAAGTGGTTTTAATAGCAAAAAAAGAAAAAAAGAAAAATGAATCTGTTACTAGAAATGTGTTTGGAATGTAACTGCAGGTTTCAATAGCTACAAAAATATGTGAACCATACATTTAGCTGTTTAGACAAATATTACTTTAGATAAAAAGTATTGTTCAAAAATTACATAGAGTGTATCCCTGAGGGCTTTGTTTATTATTTTTGAGGAGACTAAATCTATATAAAGACAATAATTCCTAAATATGAATGAAACAGAAGTGGTTTTGATCCCTCAAAATATAAAGATGTATTCAGGTCACTGGGAACTGCACAAAAACCCATGAGTGATTGCATACTTGTACAGCAGTACACACGGTACACACTCTGTTTCAGAGTCCAAAATGATTCATGTTTTAACCTACTTACACCACATCTCTGAGGAATGGAGGGGCTGCCTTTCTCAAACTCACTGCTTTGTCTTGCATTGCAGCATAGACTCTTCTACACAATAAACTCATATTCAAACCAGATTGAGAGGCTGAACAGTGTGGCAACGTTATTACTTACTGCTCCCCAAATCTCTTAAAGAATATCTATATGTGTGTGTGTGTGTGTGTGTGTGTGTGTGTGTGTGTGTGTGTGTGTGTGTGTGTGTGTGTGTGTGTGTGTGTGTGTTTTAGCTCTCTGATGGAGGTGCATACATTTATATGCAGAATAATAAATCAAGGTAGATGCTGGATTTTCATTTAATTATGAAATATTCTACAGCCGGTGGTGTCAGCTTGTGTTCTAATATGTCTCCTCCTGGGGTTTTAAGCCTGGACCAGTCATCTTGGCACCTAACTGAAAGGTGTGCTGAGATTGTAATTATATGTGTTGACTCACTGGTACACATGTCCTCTGGTTTGTCCATGTCTCCACGGTAATATCCATTCCGACAACCACAGAGGGTGGCGGCTTCAATGGTGGAGCGACTGTTGAGCGGGCACTGCTGACATAATCCTGCCCCCTGGGATGACTTAAAGGTGCCCTGAGGACAAGCTGTGAAGAGATTACAGAACAAAATGCAACTTTGACCTCTGAACATTGAAGAAAAACAGCAAACTCCAATTCTTATGTCCCATCTGACTTGATAAAAACACAGGTTTTAAAAATCTAACATGGCAGAAAGAGGGATGCTGAGTGATTATACTCTCTGTTTATCAGAAAATGTAGAAGAAATGAAGTTGTAGTTCACAAAAGATTAATGTGCAATATCAATTTACAATTTATATAAACAATAATCGGGATTAACAGATCCAGATATGAAAAATCCTGAGAACAGGTACTAAAATAGAAAAATATATCCTCTAACAAATACCAACATGTCCACAAAGATACACAGATGTAAAAGAAGAACAGAAAAGAACTCAATTTCATCTTTTCTATCATGACCAAAACATAGGCCTCTAAGACATCTATATACATGTAGTTCAAGCAATTTTGAGAAAAGCATTAGCTTCTAAATTTAATGGGTATTCCGACAAACTGCATAATACCTATTATGCTAAATTAGGCAGTGATTTAAATTGCAAAGATTTTTGCAAAAATATTTTAGACTATAGAAGATGTCCATATTTTTTCCTTCCAAAATATGTTCTTTACATGCAGTCCAAATCTTATGAATGCAGCAGAACATACAGGTTTTGCAAAAGGTCTCTCTTTGTTTTATAATCCATATTAAAACAGAAAGGCTCCCGTACACTGGTACCATCTGGTCCTTTGACCACCATCAGTAGGCAATAACGGTGAAGTGTCTTGCCCAAGGACATAACACCAAAATCCAGAGACGGGGCTTAGACCAACAACCCTCCGGTTGCAGGGAAAACTCCTGCATGCATCCGACGCAACTGTTGGCCCTGTTATGTTAAAATAACCTTTTCACAATAAGTTCAGGGTTTTCAGCCAATGTCAAATTAAGTTTGTGAGACCAGGGCATATTTAAGGCATAATAGCGGGGTGAATGCTATACTAACTCCAAAAGATGCTAGTAATGCAGTTTTAACATAAAGGACGAGAAAATCATTGCAGTTACAGACAGAATATGAAAATGAGCATTACTTGCTTCTATATTCAAAACCATGGGGTAACAGAGTCTAACAATGCTTTAACAACTACTACCTATGCAATGCAGCAAAACATATGCACTAAAAGATTTTCCTATTCATAAATAACTGCATTCAACTCACTGAAAAGTTTGACTTATATTTGCTCTCAATACAACTATAAAAGTGTGCAGTAATAGAAGGGGAACTCTGCAACAAATAGTATCAGATATCCTCCATGTTGCCTTTTATTAGAACATAGATGCCTCATGAGTTTTGATTTATAGACAGAAACTTTATCCTTCCTTGATTTATCCAGAGACTTGAGCAGAGCCTGGACTTTTTATTTGGTTTGCATCCATGTCGTTTTATTACATGCTCCAGAGTCCACAAGGAATAAGAGAAACATTGAGGGAAAAAAATGGAGGACTCAATATTTCATATTCAGAAAATAGGAGAGCCTCGATTTGAGGTTATCAAATCCCTTCAGCATATTCAAGTGGCAGGGTTGGAGAAAATATTTAAAAGAAATTTGTGTGAATAAACATGACTAACAAAATCAAGAGGTATAATAATCCTTTTAAAAGCACAAAGTTCATTAATCTGTAGAACTTCTTACAACTTCAGTCAAAGTTCACAAATGCTGCCTCAGAAATGCTTGTTCTGCATTCATAATCCCACTTTGATAGTTGAACAGCCAAAAATGCTGCTACATTTTTGATCTCATGCATGCATATTTAATTATAAACTGCCTGAATATGTTGCTGTGATAATGAAGCATGGTTAATTGCCCAGAGGATTTGGCCTTTAATCTATGAACTTGTTTTTTTGAAACTTAATAAACTTTATAAAGACCACTACTAACAATGACAAGTGACAGTGTGGGTCGATAGTGCTTTAACCACTTGCTACATAATTCACAAGAATCAAGACATGTGTTCCTGTTCTCTAGGTGGCAAGAACAAGAAACACATTTACTTGCCCTTTAAGTAATACTCCATAAAAAACGTCATTCAAAGAAGATAGACTGAAAGTGTGCGTAAGGAAGAAAAATGACACAAATGCAACAAAAACATGGGTAATATTTTTATATAGATCAGTCTATTGATCTATAGATCTAATTAAAAAGGCTCATACTGTAAAAAAAAAAAAAAAGGTAAGATGTAAAACAAAAGATTTTTAAAAGCAAAGAAATTATATCTCTGCCTTAAAGTTGTCATAGAATGATTATATAGGGTATTTGGTGCCGGTCCTTCAGGTCTCTGAAAGGGTGTGTAACATTGGTTGGGCTGAAAATGGCATATTTGCTGTTCTATGAGCCCTAATGTAAGCCTGGTTAAAAGCCCTAGAATGAAACAACAGGTTTTCTTCCTTTTATGGTATGCTCATGAATATTTAGCTGTGCGCTGACTGGTTGGTTTACAACGAGCGAAGCTGCTGAGCAAAGACATATTATAGCAACAAACACTCACTCACTGAAACATAAAATTGTTGATATGGTAGGGTGACCAGATGTCCTTTTTTTAAAAGACGTCCATTTAAAAAAAAAAAAAAATGTCTGGGGGGAATTAAAGAAACTGTCGAATACAGTGCAGCAGAACCGAGCCGCCAGCTTTGGTGCTGCATCAGCCTTTGCAGGGATCTTCTGATAGACAAAAATTATCCATGCCTGCCGAGTCTTCAGATCCTTGGGAAGAATGTGAAAATGTTCCCCTTTCTCTGTGCAGCCTGGAACACAGCATTTACGATAGTGAACCGGTGGGCTGGTCTGTATGTCAATTTCGGGGCGTGACAAAAGTACAGGCCAGAACCAAATACGGCAACAACCCCGAGTTGACGTCAACTCGGTGCTTCGTCTGAAGTCACTCGTTTTATGGTGGAAGTTTAGTATTGTGAGATTTCCAGATAAAGGAGGTGTCAATGGGGTTTGAACTTCTCTGTACGTCCATTTCAGCCACTGAACTATCGCTATTCATTTATAAGGTTTTGCATTCTATGACCCCTTTAAGATTTCAGTTGGCTCATTGGCATTTCCTTCTGTGAAATATGTTTTATCTCAGTTTTAGGTCTGGCCTCAAAAAACCAAAGCTACTTAAGCTCTATTATTTTACCTAACACTGCTGCTCCACCCACAGGTGTCAAGTAAGTTGCTGTGCCTGGTGCAACAGGTACAGTTGCAGGTGCAGCAATTCAGGTATGCGGTACATATAGGAATAAGTCCCTGAACACTGAGCAAGGGATGGTACTGCAAACTGTTGCATACCAGCCCACTTGCAGCACTGCGGTGGAGGCTACAAAGAGCAGATGATTAACAGCTCATGTATGTTCTGGAGCTAATTGTCAAGATAGCACCATTGTTTTAAAAACCATGCCTAAAGAAGCTACACCTTTTAATTATTTTCAAAGGAACAATCACAGAAGTTTAGGAATCAATTGACTAATAGGTGTTGAATTCTGATTGAGAAAATCCTTAAATAAAATATGATCGTACTAAATCATTTTATTCACCTCTTGACTTTGGATTGTGAATTGGTTTGAACACATTTCAACGGCGTGAAATTTGTTAAAAGCTAATTCGTCTTTATTTCAAGTTCTTCAAGATTAACTAAGGTGATAACTAGACTTACACTTTACATAAAAACTAGATTAATCAATTCTAACACATGAAAATGCTTGAATCTATAATATTTTGTTGCTGCTGTGGCTATACATTCAAGGTTGTTGTCCTGTTTGTGATTGATCTTGATCTCAGTCTAGAACCTTGCAGCTTCCAATAGATTTTCTTTAAATATTGCCTTGTAATAAGCGTTGTCATCTCATACTTTGACAAGCTTTACTTTTCATGCTTTAAACAGAAATCTTAGCATAATGCTGCCACCTACCAATGTTTTTTTTTTTTTTTTTTTTCAGCTGTTTAGGGTATTTTCATATGTAGTGTCAGCTTCTGTTTTTACATGCAATGTTAATCAGGTCGACCGAAAAGTTTAATTTAGGTCTCCTCTGACCAAAGCACCACCTCCCAAGTGGTTCCCGTTTCCCTTACATGGTTTGTGGCACACTATAATGCTGTCTTCCATTTTTTCCCTTTCCTTGAAAAGGCAGATAAACATCTGGCTTGTCAAGGTCATTTATTCAACAACCCTGCTCATACACGTGAGGTGTGTCACCATGGCAACAAGTCTTGCTCCCTCTCTTTATCATTTACCTCTTGATACCGTACAGCCATCTGTGTGTGTCCAAGTGTGAACATATGTCAAACCACTGAAACCCAAAATGCAAAATATCTGAGTTTGGGTTTAATGATTTTGTGCACAGATTTTACTAAAATAACAGAACTAGAATAATAATGCATTGCATATAGTTATTTTTTATTGTCAGGACGTCTAAGTTTTATTAGTTTTCTCTGACTCTGCACAATATTTACTTAACCAGAAAGGAGAGAAAGATTAGACATTGCTACACATATTGTAAACACTGGCAGACATAATTAACATGAATAATTATCAATTGATGAATAATTCTAGCTTTACCAATGAGTCAAGATGCATTGTTACACTGACTGGTAGGCAACTTGCTCTTCAGTGCCTTCCCAGGGGCTCACTGATTGGTAGGAACTTATTAATATCTGATTCCAAGATGATCACTCAGTTAAAAACAAATACCTAATAATAACTAATAATAGGGAACTTTCTTCATAAAATCTCTGGCCAAATCATATCATTCTGGTAGATCTGAAAAGCATTTAAAAAACATTTTTCAAAATTGTGATGTAAAGTTAGGGAGCTGTAGAAAGCTAAGAGCTAAAAATAAAATTGTTCAGTGTATCTCAAACACTGTGCTAGTAATGTGTGCATGCACATGGCATATGTATACATAAACTATATTTTTGTAAAGGGTCAAATTATCAATACATAGAAAATTTTATTAAATGCATTCAGAATTACACATAAAAATATGCACACACACGAGTTTGATCACAATCCAGTTGCGCCATATGGTTTGCACAATATGTGGATCTGGTGCTAAACAAATGCCAACTCTGTGCCTTGACATGCGCAAACCCTCACAAAAAGATTACCATCTGTTCCAGGAGTGGGTCCAGCTTCCTGCCAAGTTGTTATCAGCTGATTGGCATGAACCAAAAAGATGCCAACTTTGGAAAGACACACAAGACAAATACTGGCCTATAAAACCATTTATCTCTTTTTTAATAGTGAGAATATCAGGGAGCTGTATGTTGACATAGCATCACAGAAATCAGATGTCTGTTGAACCTGTCTTTAGTTTGAATACTCAATGAAAGATAAATGGCTTAAATGCTATAAGACTTCTGAGGATCAGTTTACACCATACTAACATCAACAAATTAATTATATAGTGAAAAAGAATCTTGCTTTACTTAGCTTGATAAAATGATCTAATACTGTCTTGGAACCATTGTGACACTGAGCCTGAAAATCGCAGAAGCTTTGATGTGGATAGCCTACTTTTAATACAAACACAGCAGGGTTGGAAGCACTGGCTGAAACAACCATATGCGCTTGCATTTGGATAGTGTTGACTTTTGTAGTGATTCTGGCAGACATCTTCTTCCTATTACAGGTAATCATGGTAACTATTATTTTTGCAGCAGAGATGTGTTTATGGCATATTATTTTAAGTATTTCTCCTTTTCCCTTAATAAGAATATGATGTTAGTTTTATTTTTGCTTGGTCTCTTAAAGTTTTCTTGTCAGGGACCAAACCATTTTACAGCCTAAGGGGATGCAGAGGAAGTCATTTATAACCTTTCCTTTAGAGAGCAATGAACAGCCTGCAGTGTCCAGGAAGCATTCTGGGGTTAAGGATCTTGCTCAGGGACCATGAGTAACTGTGAGGATTGAACAAAATGTCTTACTCTCTAACCATTCAGCCAGAGAACCGACAGAAAAAAATACACTAAAAACTGTGCACTGAATCATAATAAAAAAATAAAAATAAAAAAAAAGGCTGCTGTGGACTAAACAATTACACTAGCACTGATCATGATGTTTAGATGATTCATAAATGACCCCTCACACCCCCACCATGGACTGTTCTCCCTGCTGCCCTCGGGGAAGAGAGTTCGAAGCATTGGATGCAGGTCCAGCAGATTCCACAACAGTTTCTTCCCCACTGCCATTAGACTGCTGAATGTTTTGTAAAATGGGTTACTGTATTGTATTTTATTATTTTTTATTATTATTGATATATATATTAAAAAAAATGTTAGAACTGTAAATTTAGTAATTTCTACTATTTTTCAAGGCTGCACTTTTAAAAGATGAAATTGTCTAGTGAGCTGTTTCCAAACAAAATGTCTTTATGTTTTACACTTGTGTAAACAAAATGACAAATAAAATCTGTCCAAAGTCTGAGTTTAAAAGGTGTTCATGATACACAGTATGTGTCAGGTTTCTTGCAGATTTAATATCCAAAGGCTTTCAAGAGAAGCAAAACTCCACAAACAAAAATGCAGAAATCCAGGAAAACTCTTATGAAGGGCAAAGAAATGACGAGGAACCAGCCAACAGTGGGTGCATTCGAATTTATGGGCTACATCTTCCAAGGACATGGTCTACCTGGACAGGAGACTTCCAAGTCCGTGAAAATAAGGGGACTGGAAGAGTTTTGGCTGTGAATTTAAACAGGTCCAGCCTTTTGTGGCTTTTTATTGTAAAGTGGACAAAGACTACAGTCATGAAAGGTGACAACCACCGGGAGCATGAACAAATAAAAGCAAATATAATGATATAAACCTTAGTCAGTTAAATGACATGCTGCTGTCATTTTCCCCGTCTCTGATGTTGCTGATATTTTCACATATCCATTACAGTAAAAATGTCCATAGCTGTAAATAGGGTTATTTATTCTCCAGGTATTTCATTGTTTATCTTTTAACTCTTCAATATTATGTCACTCTTATACATTTTTCTAAGGTCCACATTTGTGTGACCATTTTTTTCTATAATTTTTTTGGCATCATGGCAATATTAATATCTGATATCAATATTGGCCCTTTTTTCATATCAGTGCATCCCTAAATATGATCTTGATGGAATCAATCAATCAGACAATGTGATGTTTATGAGAACTTAACCTAAAATACTAAAAATCTTTGGTCATATAATCTGACTGTTCCAGTCAGTCTAGGTCATCTTTGTAGCTTCCTTAATATTTACTGGCTCCTACATTTTTCTTTATTCTATGCAACGTTTTAGTTAAATATTTTCCTTAAGCCAAAGAAATACAGAAGCAAAAATGAAAACCAAAAAAGGAAGTGGCCAATTGTCTAAGAATTCAGTGGTCCTCAAAAAATAAGTGTTTTCTGAGCTATACTGTAAGTTGTTCTGGGCGCTTGAACACAAAATTAACTTAGTCCTATTAAAGTCGGGTAGAATTGGATTAAGGTGTTGAAGATTAATTTCTTTTTATCTTATATTCTGTTTTTAATAAATAACTTTTACATCTGTTTATTTCTATATCTGTTCACTCTTCTGTGTGAGTCAGCCAACATTGGGTGTGTGGACATTCTTATGCTGGCCAGAGCGACTCCATATGGTAATGATGTAGGCTGTGAGAAGGCCTAGATGCTGACTTGTGGCTTTTGGATGAGACATTTCCTGGCTGACTTTTAGATAAAAAGGGAAATATGGCAGAAGCTCTCAGCCTTTTCAGTGGGTTTTCCCCTGAATGGCTGAGACGTAAGAGCCTAATAGAAGGTCTTCCTCTGCAATTTGTGGCTGGATCAATGATATTGTTTAACATGACTGGAATAAATTCTGTTAATGCTTAAACATGATTCCTCCTTTGTGTACGCTATCTGAGAGACAATACCTCCCAGGATGTGGACTGGGTAATAAAAAGGTGAAACAACAAAGGTAAGGTTTCTTCTAAATAGGAAACAGCTTAAAAAAATACAATTGCCAACTATTCCCATTTGAAGTAAATGATAAAGAAACTTTACAATACATGACCTAATGCAATCAAATAAAATGACAAATAAGGACTCCAAGTTGGCTTGTAGTCAGTTCCATAGAAAAGTAATGATGTCTTACAAAGTGAGTACGATATTTTCAACAGGGTTTGTGGTATGGTCTGGAAACAATTATATTGTTTCAAACATGAAAAAAAAAACAAGGAAGATAATGAAGTAGGTTTAACAAATATGACAACTTATTAAAAAACAAAAAACAAGAAAAAAAAATTAATGCGTTATTACAGCATTTAATGTCTCTTTAGAAATAACAAAATATTTACTGATTTGAATAGAATTTATTTTTTGTGATATGTGTTTTTACTTTACTGTACAGTCTATTCCAATGTGTATTCTGTTGTTGATTCAGATTTTCTGCAATAGACTGGGGACCTGTCCAGAGTGTACGCTGCCTTTCACCCTCAGACTATGGGAGATTGAAAAGCAGTCATCCGTGACTTTGATGGACAAGCAGTAGAAGAAGGAAGAATAATTCAAATTTTTCAAGCTTTTAGGCTATTCAACCTTTAAGCGTTTTTAAGTCATAACCTTTGTCTATGCTGCTAAAAACACCAGAATTTCCCTACAGTGGATTCTATTCTACTCTATTTAACCTTTCAATTTTATACATACTAGATATGCAAACATGTTTAGCTCAATTGTAAATGTGAGGTTTTTAGAATTGCATTAGTATTAAATAATTAGTTTTCAAAGCTACATTCTTTAGTGTTTAAATTTATCTCATGACTGATGACTGATTTACTTAGACCTGATTAAATATCACAAAAATGAAATAATGCAATGTGAATGAAAAAACACGAACTGAGACCAGCAGCATGACAAACATTTGTCATTGTATTTAATGAGCAGCAGATATGATGCTATCCATCAGTCTGTTCTTTCTTTCTTTCTTTCTTTCTTTCTTTCTTTCTTTCTTTCTTTCTTTCTTTCTTTCTTTCTTTCTTTCTTTCTTTCTTTCTTTCTGTTAGGAACACACTTAAGTAATTAACATTGGATGACGAATTCCCACTTATTTCACCAGAAGTGCATACATCAAAGTTCCGTCCACCACACTAACACACATGTTTGGCCACACCTCCACACAGACACACACTCAGGCACAATAGATGAGATTCTCCAGGGAGAATAAGAAATGATGAGTACTATTTCTGAGAGGAAATGGGGAAGGAGGCCAGAAGATTCATTTTAGTACCACATTTATCTAAGGGTGGCTCAGTAAATATTAACATATGGTAAATCATGTGCTACCACCTTGGGTAAAAATAAATTTTATTCTCTAGTTGAATGTATGTGCTTGAAATTCTTCAGCTAATGTTACAAAGCTATGATCTGTTCACATAAACTTTGAAAAATAACTGTGTTTTAAATTGCATTACAAATAGAACACAATCTCAAAAGACAGTTGTTCATAAAACAGGCTCAGTCAGGATCTTACAGTTGATGATATATGTATGATAACGGCAATATTTTGAGTAGTTAAAGGTCATTTGCATGATCTGTCATCTCATGCTGCTTTCAGATGCTGACTGCTGCCATTACTATGACAGACTATTGGAAACATGTTTGCACAATATTGATTTGCTGCCACTCTGCCTTGGTAAATTGTATGTGGGGCGTGCAAGAGTTTACAGTTCGGCATTTTCAAAACCACATTTGAATTCTTTTAATGTTGCTGTATAATACAACTGACATTTTCTTTTGTCCAAAACATTTTTCATGAGCACGGCACCTTCTTTAAATTGAAGACTTACCTCGACACACGTTGCCATTGTCGGGTTCATAGCCTGCCTTGCAGCTGCAGCTGCCAATGGGTACCATCCACTCTCCATCTCCATTACAGTAGAGCTTTATAGGCACATCTACCTCCTCAGCATTTGAAATACAGCTTCCTCTGGAGATAACCAAGGATGTGGACTCTGCTCCTGTCAGTGTCTGGTTGAAAAAGAATTAGAAAATAACTCAGTCTAAACCAAACTAAAAAGGATGGAAACTTTTCCGGATTCTACTGCATACCTCTGGGAAAAAAGCAAAGTTCTGCACAATGCTTGGACATTTCTTGTAGAAAACTCTTACTGCCAAAAGGGACATACAAGCACCCAGATCCTGGAAAGCCAAGTAAAAGCCTTTTCCCTTGGAAAGTGGTCCAAAACCTCGAACCTCTGTGTTCACTTTCATCAGCCTTCCCCCAAAATCCACCTGGGAGAAACTTTCATCTGCTGCAATGGTGTCCACCTGAAGGAAATAGATGGTTGAAAGTTGAAATGATGATTGGTCATGAATCCCATTATAAAATTAACAGCTTTTTGTTGATGTTAGAAAATTACTGATTAAATATATGCAAATAAGCACTGCTTCTATACACCAGTCAGGCATAACATAACAAGCACCAATAGGCAATGTGAATAAAACTAGTTTTAAATTCAAAAGTTTTTGGGTTAAGTTAAAATAAAGTTTTGACACATAAAGGTGTGAGAAAGACATGGTGAACATGGTGAAACAAACATTAGATATTAATGCAGTGTCACAAGCAAAACAATTGACTAATATAAGGGTCTGACCAAGTTAGACAAGATACCCAAATGTATAATTTCATAAAGACTGGATCAAAAAATGTATCTTTTTAGCTATAAAACGGTCCATCCTAGTTTATCTCAGATTATTGATCAAATGCCAGTAAAAACATCTTTGAAAAACCTGAGACCTTGATTAAAGCTCATGTAAACTTTATATAACACCTATCCAGTTTGCATGTTTTTGTCCAACTGCTTTATCCTGATTTAAATATCTTGATGGAATATTTGGTGACGTCAGGATTTTGACTCACATGTAGGATATCTGCCAGCTTTGTTTCATTTAGGGAATATTTCTAAACAACATCAAGAATCAATAGTCTCAATTGTTATTTTTTCATATAATGACTTATTTTCTGAGATAGTGGCTGAAATGGAACGTTATGAGACATAAACATTGGTTAAAAACACTTTAACATTAAGATAACATGAGGATCAGCATACTTAAAGGCATGAAAGAGGATTCTGTGGTGGAAGATATGTCAGACGGCTGTTTGTGTATTTTTGAATCGTGCTCATGTATCAGTCCCCCCTCATTCGCAAAAGTTCTCTACGCTTGAAAGGTCTCCACCAGTAATTTTGTATTTCACCTAGAGAGGCAGCAAAGTGTAGCGATGCACCTGGTCAGCAGGAAATCTCCATAAGAAGAGGGAGCTCTGCCAAGGTTATAACACCATGTTATATTTACAGTTTTTTAGTGTGTTCTTGCTGCTGCTGCTACAACTTACTGTTTTTACATTAAACACAGAAGTACACTTGAAAATAACACCGGTTAAACTTTTACCAATATGGACATGTTAGACATCGTTAGAAAGCTTAGATTCTCCACACTTCAACCACCAAGTTTATTTTATGGAAGCCATGAGCACCAAAGCATATATAATAAAGATATAGCAGCATGTTAAATCAGAAATTTTAAAATAAAGCTTCGACTTTCAACCTTTGAAGCTTTCCTGAGGCCGTATTATAAATTGTTTTGAATTTGAAGTTATTATAAATTGTTTATTTTCCATTTGTCCGTAAGGGTCTATGGATAAAACGTAATCCAGCATATTCGTAATAAAAATATTCCATGATGAGAACATTTACACATAAAGTCATTTTTTTACCATCAGAAAAATACAATCCTTATAGCTAATATTAACAGTCTTGTTAATTATTCTAGCTTCCACAAATATTTCTGGTTTGTCAGGAATCTTTCTGGCCATTGATGCTCCAGTTTACACAAAAGAGTAAACAAATAGTTCAAAAAAAGGCCACAGCAGCAGACAAGCATAGGCGCAGCCCACGTTAAAACATTCTGGCAGCAAGTGTGCAAAATGTTTCATTGACAAACAAGTAGACAATCCGCTTTCGAAATTAGGATAAGTGGACTGGCTTATGTTTTGTAGGCACCACCAAAGCCAGAGTTTATAGATTTTTTTTTTTTTTTTTTTGGGGGGGGGGGGGATAATAAGTGCAACAATGCCATCCATCAATTAATTTATTTTAGATTAATCTAGACACATGTACATGATGTATTATTGAATATCTACTATTTCAGCTTGTGCTGAAACCATGTATGAAATGCTCTAGAGGTTTCTTTGATTTTGATATCGTCTCTTCAGCTGAACTGGAGAGAATTATCCATCCATTCATGTTATCTCATTTAGATTATTGCAATGCCGTGTTTACTGGCTTGCTTAAATTAACCCTTTTATTCCTCCAAGCCATATAGGATTCTAAGACTACTTACAAATTCCAGCAAGCCATGGCATATGAGCCCTATCATATATTTTTTATACTGCCAAACAATAGATTTTAGGATTTCTTTTAAAATTCTATCTCTAATGTACAGAGTACTAAAAATCAGCATTTTTTTTATCCACTTACAAACTATACTGCTGCTCACTGTCTTTATTCAATAGTTAAGATTATTGTATTTTTAAGACATCAGAATAACACAAAGGCTGTCGAACAGTCTTTTATTGTTTTGCTGACTCTCTGGAATCTTTAAAAAGCAGTAAAAAATATATATTCTTTTTTACAAAGGCTTTCTGCTAACAGTTTAGTTTCTTTGTTTTTTATTGTCTTTCATCTTTTTTATCGGCACTAAATTCTCACAGATATTTCATTGCTTTTTTTTTTGTACAGCATCTGTGATACTCTGGTCTGTTAACAGTGAAATGCAAACAAACATTACTGACTGATTTACTTAACTGTGGTATTTTATCCTGTCTTTATTGAAGAGTCATGGTCAATTGTTCAACATGTGGAGGGAAGACTGAGTCTTGTGGTCTGATCTTAATGTAAATCTACTGTAGTTCAAACAATTAATGAAATTTACTACAAGTTATTGGAATAATCAGGGTTGGATGAATTTATCAACCATTGATGACAGATGATTGTTGATTCATCATCATACGAGATGCAGACCAAAGAAAAAAATTAATAATTGAACATCATTGATCTCACAATATAGTAATTCACTTCTGCATCTTAACCCATCCCCTTGGGGAGCAGTGGGCTGCCACTGTGTTGTGCCTGGGGAGCAATGGGGGGTTAAGGGTCTTGCTCAAGGCCTCTGAGGGCAGGCTGTGGGATTTGAACCTTGTACTTGCACCCTTTTCTGAGCACAAGCGCACTGCTCTAACCATTAGGCCAACACTCCACCAAATGGAAAAATGGAACACAAAGTCCTTCTAGCAGAAAGCAAAGCTTCTTTCCCCCCACAGTGCCTTAAAATGCAGCAGTGATTTATTTACTCAAAGTAACAGACAGAAAGAATGAAAGTAGCCTCAATTTTAGAAAGTACAGCACATCAAATAAAGAAACATTTTGCACGTTAAAAAGGATTATATAAATTTATTTTTAACTAAATACATTTAATGTAGAATCAGAACAAAGAAAAAACAGAAAATACTCCTTTCTTATAAATCTTCCTTATGAATCGCTCCCTGCGTGTTTACATTGCCCTACCAACAAAAAAGTGTAAATGGCACCTGTGGGAGATACTGCCCATGCACATATGCTGGACTGATGAACTTCAGCTGAAGAGAAAAGTTACATACTGTATCGCTGAACCTTGCTCTGTCGCATTTTTTGAAAAAGATAAGACAAAAAAAATGATTGGGGATTGTAAACTGATGAATATGGTGTCTTTAACAATAAAAAAAAAGTGAACACTAAATAATTCTGTTATTCAGTCATCTTAAGCAGTGCA